AAATATGCGATTTTTGAAAAACAAACTGAATAATGAAATGAATGAAAAAATAAAAATACCTAATATGCATAGTCTGTAGTAGCAAATGTTTGTACAGTCATGGACAGTGGTAAAGGAAAGTGCCATGAACAACATACTAACTACTACGGTAGGGGAGCGTTTGTAGGTCATCTTTACAAGTTGTTCTTGAATAATTCGAAAATTGCGGGGTTCTAGCGAAAAATTCATTATTTTCATTAATCATATTTCTTCGTTTTTCTTACATTTCTGAATAGATCTGTCATCGAGTTGAGTTCAGAAACAATGAATTCACATTGTACTCTCCAATCTAGATGCTCATCAATATATGTGGAAAAATAAATTCTCATATTTTAAAAAAGATCAGTGTCACTAAAATAATTGTGACTGAATTGCACTATGCAGATATTGTCAGAGAGAAACGATTCGCACTCGGTTTGCATACAGGGTGTATCTAAATAACACCGAAAACATTCAAGGGGTAATTTCTTGTGATATTCTAGCAGATAAAGTTCATATAAACATGTGTCCTAACTTGCTCCGTTTTTCAGATACTAGATGTTGAAGTTTGAAGTATCGATTGTTTTTATTTATAACCCCCCTGTATAAGCATTCATGGTGCCAAAATTCAGTATGGTTGGAGACTGAGGAAGTCCTGAAATTTCGAAATGATTGTAATTGGGGTTATTGAGTAATCTCAATGGAAGTCTTGAAAACACCTACAGCTTGATACTAAAATCATACAAAGGATAAATAAGCTGTTATTTCAATAGTTCAATCCAATAAAAATATAAAACTCAGAAAAACCCAATGACATTCACCATACATATAGATAAATTTACCCATCTGTGACGCCACTCGAAATATTATTTCGAATCTAATCGCACCAGAAGAAGCTCCATATTACTATTAACAAAACCCGCAAAACCGCAACGTTTTATTGATATTGATGAAAAGACAATTGAGTAATTGATAAAAAAATAATTTTTCATGAAAATATTAATACCCTGTATCTAGAAAACGAAGCAAGTTAGGACATGTTCATGTCGTATTCTTGAATGAATAACCGAATCAATATCAGTAACATGGAAGATGGAAGGTTCTGAATGAATGATGATATCCAGCTATATTTGTAATGCTTCAAACGGCTTCAAATTCAAAATTTTCTACACACAACAAATGACCTCAAATTAAAAAAAAAATTCAGTACACACCTCCTCTCCCTCTCTCCCTATCCTCCTTAGTTTAAAAGCACGCGAGTGACGATGTTCTTCGAACATTGTAGGGATTCCTTTTCGTTCGCTCCAGGAGATCGAAAAGAGTGGCAGCAAAATTATGTTGCGTGATCAAATCACAATGTTATACCTGGATACAAAAACATCAGAACAAAACAGGAGGAGTTCAATAACGTGAATGGATGGCCATATACAAAATTCATGAGCATCTTGACAGTCGGTGAACCAATTCATAAAACTCGTTTATGTGAGGATGTGTAATTGTTGAAGCTATAAAAGGGGATATTGCGGTTTTTATTTTCTTCAAGTTGTACTAATCAACTCACTCTCGACTCTCATAAATTACAACAGAGGCCATTGAGAAAAACCTGGCAACACTGTATTATTTTATATTGCCCATGCACATAGCACATGCACAAGGAGTTGGTAAGGGATAATCTAGAAATAAATTTGAATAGCACCTTTCACCAGAGATTTGAATCAGTTATCGATTCAAATACCTGAGTTTTTTTTTCTAATTTCAAATCTTGATTCAAATCATGAATAAAATCAAAATTTCTGATAACTAGAAGAAAATCGAGAAGAAAATTGAAACTTTGATATTTCATTAATGGTTTGATGTATCACAGAAATCTTGTTTTCGAAAAGAAATCGTGGTTCTTGATGTTTTTAAAAAATTTAAATATATCTATTGATTTTGTTCAATCCTGTCTTCCACGGTGAATGCTAATGTCTGAAAGAGATAAACCTTATTCTCATTGAATAACAGAATTACGAAAAGTCCGAAGCAATTTCAATATGTCTATCCAAAGTCAATTGAAGTGATTGCAGGTGCGGCTCGAGACCCTCCAATTAACTTTGGATAAACTATACAGGTCATGGGGATTCATGAGGAATTGAGAGTATTTGTGAGAATTCAAGAATTGCGAGAGCTCAAGAACCATTGTGGCAATTCACTCTAAAAAATAATGAGAAAGAGTGTACAAAATCCACATTGGAGAAATGTCCCTCGGATGAGTCAGTAATGAAAATATTCCAACAAATCCGCCAATGGGAATTCCATGCAATCTGTTTGTCCTATACTGGTATAGTGATACCATTGAGATATAATTTGTAGTTTTTTTGAGAAACGCTTACTTATTGATATTGATTTTTACATGTCACGGCCAGAGGATATCCGGTTGTGATAAGGTTGCTTATTGGCTTGGGAATTTCGAGATTACTACGAAAAACCGAGGGGAAAAACCACAACCGATGGGTTTTCACCTAGGTTTTCACAATCCTATGATACACATCGATTTCACTTTCCAATCCACTTTTAGAGATAGGTGCTGAATAAATGAAACTTGAATCATTCTTGATTATGACTTTGCTAATAAGTAAAATAGTAATTTAGTATCGACTCCAATATTGAGTAAGTATGGGTATACGTAGGTATTTGGATTGAGCGGTAGAGATAGATACCTACCTACTTGACATAGATTTATTCAAGTTTTCAATAGGTTGCTGATTTTAAACTACATTTCGTACGATTACTACAATGAATTTTTCAACCATGTGACCTCTTAAACTAGTACATAGCTATTTTTAAGAAAGAAGCGGGAAAAAGTTGGTTTTCTTTCCAAAGCCTTCAATAAAAATGAATGCTTCGTCTATCTATATTTCAAGAATAAAACTTTCGGTTTGAATGCGAATCGGTTGATATATGGTTGTTACCTAAGTACTTGCCCTTCTTTTTACCTCATTGAACACTTTATCGGTATACACTAACGATACCTACACAGTCTAAGTACAAAAATAAATGAGAAAAAATGGTTTCTTTGTGAATTTTTTTATACACCTACTTATTTAATAAAACCGGCTGTTGCTTTTGAAAGAAGTTACGTCTTATTGCCGCCTCCCTTCTTTCCTTCTTCAATTTTTTCGTGAAATTATTCAGACGAATTTGATTCACTTTCTCACTTGGTTACCTGACAAACACAAACACCTAACATAACTTAGATAATTTTGCATATCATATCGCGCAACTTGTTGGAACAAGTGAAAATCAGTTTGGAGAAACGTTTCTCAAACTGTACACCCGAGTGTACACCAATAAGGGACTTCTCGAATCTCGTGCTTGAGTAGGTGAAAAATTGAAGAAATATTCAATTTCTTGATAAATTTCGAATAGCTAATATCGTGTGCGAGATCGTGTGTCATTAGGGTACGTGAGCATATTAAAGTGTCCGATGATGGAAGAAGGGTAACACAGCATTCATCATGCGATGGTTTTTCGAAATGTTTTTTGTCCTTATGTATTTTTGTCTGAAAAACACGAATTTGATCATGAAAATGTGAACAAACCGCTATTTATCGAGATATTTCAAGAAAAGCTTCGAAATTTCGCATTCTTTTTCCCCTTGTGGGCCTTGTGTTGGATGCATTTACAGCTACGTGTTCTTCTTATTTTGTCATAGGGCACTTTGTATACTCATGATGTACTTCAATGACACATTTTTATACAGAAAATTCAACAGGAAATATGATTTTAATGGCGAATTTTTCATATTCAGTGAACAAGTATACCAGATGACGGCCATTTAATCAATAGTCAATCCAAATACGAGATGTCAAATGTCGACAGATTGTTTTTGAATGACATTACACACGCCATTATTTCAATACCTAGTTATTTGTTTAACTATATAGCCAGAAAAGTACAAGATTTAATGCCGCTGCTGGCGTTTCATAGCCTAGGCGTAGCCGAGGCTACAAAACCAGCCAAGGCATTACAGCTTCTTTACTGCCATGTGAAACATAGTTTTTTATCCAAATTCTTTTCAATTTCACAAGTTCAAATAATCCATCATTTTTGGTTTACCCAAAGTCATTGTCAATTTTGATTACCAATTTGATTCAAATTACTTAGAACGTTGCATAGCAACAAACTTCTTCCGCCTAGGCATTGAAAGTACACCTTCTCTGTCTGTTGAGAGTCATTAAAAACCCACTTTTAATGTAATTTTGGAAAAAAAATGATATTCTTCCTTCTTTTCACTAAATATGGATAAATCACAAGAAAATCATATTTTTAGTTGACTCATGCAATAGAAAAAAATTTGTCGTAGGTACGTTGTGAAAAAAAGGGCAAATTATTCTAAATGCGATCCAGAAGACAGGCGGAAAAGATTGAAGAAAGGTGAAATTTTCTTTTATAATACTTATACTTTATAATCAAATATCTTGATAAATAATGTTTTTTTCACATTTTCATTATCAAATTCGTGTTTTTCAAACAAAAATACATGAGTACCAAAAAAAAATTCGAAAAAAACCATCGCATGATAAATGCAGTTTTACCAAATTTTATTGTGAAATACCTACCTATCTCGAGAAAAAGTGGATTGTTCAATATTTGTTTTTATCGTGTTTTTCAGACGAAAGTACGTGGGCATCAAAAGGAATTTACAAAAATGAACTCGTCGCATGGTAAGTGCAAAACGAGGTGCAAAATTACCCCAATAGGGGTGGCTTACCTTCTCGGTAGGTAAGCAGGTAAATTACCACGAGGTACACTGTAAAATTCCATGTAAATGTGGAGTCCTTAATTTTTTTAATTCTTCACAAATTCCACGATCCGTATAAATTTCACCGAATTTCACCATAACCGACAGGAATTTCACAACATTAAAATAATAATTAAAATTCCCCAGTTGGTAAGTATTTCTCAGTCCATTGAACACACACACTGCGACAACTGTTCATTAGAAAGTGTACGAGAGGCGGATCACACAAAACGGTTTTTGGCAAAATCGAGTCCAAGGCAATATGACGTCAATCAGTGAAATCCTCCAAATACCCTCGCGACAATTTTTCGGGGCAAGGTTACGTCTAAACTGCGGCATTCTCGAACAAAAACGGATCTACTTAAACAGATCTAAATAGAAGGAACAATGCAAGTCACAAATAACCGTTCCATTCTTTTCGAATCAACACGTGAAGAGAACACGGGAAGCCTGAATGGCTCACTTGATAAACACCTAAACACGACACTTCATCTTCAAGCCAACTAGATCAGCTGTGGACGACTCACTTCAGAGTGCTTCAGAGGCAACATCAAACTACGGAACACTGACAAGAACTGACCACGACACGAGCGAATCGGAGAATCTAGCCACCTCTGGCTCCCGCGTCGCGAAGGGAAAAACCAGCGACCGGTCCAATGGGACGCGAGCCTTGGCCGGAAACTGCCGAGACGGCGCGACCCGTGACCGTTGCTCGGGTGTGAAGCGGGTTTACGTCTGGGTCCTTAACCTAACTTAACGACCGCGACGTGTTCGTCTCCTTGTTGGGGCCAAGCGGGGCCGTATCGCTGTGTCTCTTTCTTTCGTCTGCGAAATTTCAGTGCATAGCGAAACGTATTTTATGGTGGCATTGGTGGCAATCGGTATTTCGGAAAATACTGGAAGATTTCGGTATCCAGGGACCCAGGAATGATTCTGAGAACAAAGAAAACAATGATTGATTCCATTATTTTTTATCACAATAGACATACAGTGTGTTGAACGACAGGTTAGCATTTCTGGAAGAGGGACTGGCTGGAGTACCTACCTGATCAGGTAATAGATATACCTACCTACAGGGTGTTTCAAAATTCAGCATCAACATTTCAGGGACTTAATCCTCTATGTTTTCGCGAACGGTTAATGTAGTGCCCGGCGTCTATTTCACTAAACGACATAAACGTTTGATATGGAGTTTGGTATTCACTATTCCGACTACCTATATCTCTGAGTGTATTTTGATATGAAAAATATACCCCTGAAATCTTGATACTGAATTTTGAAACATCTTGTATGTGCCCAGAACTAGAGGTATTATAAATGGAGAATTTCAATATATACGATATATACAATAGGTACAGTGGCCTTCAGTGAACATGTCGTTCATGAATGGTGATATAGCCCCATTCAAAACAAAACACTAATCTTCTAATCTCCCCATCATGCAAAGATTCAATCGCTATAGGTATATTATGTTCTCTGAAAAGGGCTGTATAGGTATACTAGCATAGATTCTATTAATTTCTCGATTAATTTAGCACCGAGTTCAGCACCAACTATAACCTTCTATACCTATCGATCGATTTTCTTCTTGAATTAGATCGGCAAAGCGCAAAGCTTTGGAACTCTTTGCCAATGAAAGTATCCAGGAACTTATATCCCCCATGAGTTGAAAATGGTTATGTATACACCAAGGGAGTAAAGAATATCAGTATTAATTACCCAGGGACCAAAATTATATAGGTACATTCCAATCATTTTGATCCTGTGAAACTAAATATGCACCTATTGTCACTATGTAAGCACTTCTTTTCAATTCTAATTAATATAGTAGAATGTTTTATTAGGATCAAAAGTGACATTTTGTTTGACAAGCGAATTTTGCATTTGCGAGGCGGAGCGTTTAGCGAAACCAACAGTTTAAATTTTTCTATTCTTCAGTAACTGAATTGTCGTTACTTTGTTTTTTTTTTCGTTCCTATTTCAATGTTTGTACCTGTTGATGTGTGATATTATTTGATCATTTTTCAATACTTTTTTCTTTATTTTGTTATTGGTTCCAAAAATTCCTTTTTCCTAAATATTGAATATTGGACCTAGACCCCCCCCAGGGATGAATCTTAATTACGCCACTGCAGTCGCATGTAACATTTTCGAAATAAATTTCACATCTTGGCCTACTATTTACTATTTACTCATATTACTCAGCGAAATTTATATACCAATGATCATTGAGTCCGCAAATTCCGGAAAATGAAGGTGACTAATGGGGAATTTTTCCTAGAAAAGCGTTACTGATGGATAATTCCACCAGTTCCGAGCCTCATCGGATTTTTCCAAGAATACCTAATTCGAATGTCAGACTGTATATAAGTATTAGTAAAAAATAGCAAAAATCTGGAGAAATTGAAGCTGTTTTATTCAAATAATGAAGCTGTTTTATTCAAATAATGAAGCTGTTTTATTCAAATAATGTATATTTTTCTGCAACCGACACAAAAGTCGTCCATTTTGATACCAAAATTAGCTCTTAAATTGACGTTTCTATTACTGACACAAAAATAGGTATGTTGCTAGGCAACATATTTAGTTCCTAGGAGCTAAAGTTGAATTTTAGTTCCTAGGAGCTGAAGTTGAACTTTAGCTCCTAGGAACTAAAAAGGATGTACTGGACGCTCGACTGGACGTCATCAAGAATAAACAACATTGTGACGGTTGGTTATTTGGGTTGAGACGCATGTTCGTGATTTACCTGGAATTAGTGTATTAGATCCGCTCGAATGACCTTTTTTTGATATTTTTTGTAATCTTTTGAAATCTATTGTCAGTCTTCAAATTATTTTTTATTATGACAACTTTTCATTTTTGTTTCACAAACAACTATCTTATAATACATTATATACAAAGTGATATAGATTAATAAACAGAATGAATACATTTTAAGCTAATTCACAACATTCTCCCCCTCAGTAATTGGCTCAACATAAGGTGAGTATTGAGATAGAGACAATTACTCAATTTTGTTCATCCTGTATATCCAGAATGCACAGTCTTGACACAGATCGACGAAGTACGGTTCCGTTAGCTAAGGTCACATCTACAATCCTTATCTTGCCGTCTTTGGCAGGATAGACTTCAGTTACTCGTCCTTTTGGCCATGTGTTCCTTGGTCCATTGGGGTCTACGATAATGACTATATCGTTTACCTTTATTGGTTTGCTTTCTTTGTGCCATTTACTTCTTTTCACTAAAAATGGCATATATTCTTGCGTCCATCTTCTCCAGAAGTGATCGGTGATTCTTTGGGATGCTCTCCACTTCGCAAGTAGATTCAGGTCTCTTTCTTCAGTCTGGGTGCAAGGTAATGCTGCGTAAGATGGACCAATAAGAAAGTGGTTCGGAGTCAAAGCTTCAGAGTCATTAGGGTCGATAGAAACGTGAGTAAGTGGTCTTGAGTTTATTATATTCTCGGCCTCGGCAAATACTGTTCTGAGGACGTACTCTTGAGGGCATCTAGATGTTAACAGTTCTTTCATAATCTTCTTTATTGACTGAATTAATCTTTCCCAAGCTCCTCCCATATGTGCTGCCAGTGGAGGATTGAATATCCATTTCACATTTCGAACAATGCAAAATTTTGAAATTTCTCCTTGGTTCAGTGCCTCGAGAGCGTCGGATAGTTCCCTTTCTGCAGATTTGAAATTACTTCCATTGTCACTATAAATCTCCTCTGGAAATCCTCGTCTGCAGCCGAATTGTCGAAGAACGTGTATAAAACTGTTTGTGGATAAATCATGGGCAATCTCCAGATGAATGGCTCTTGTCACCATGCAAGTAAATATTACGCCATACCTTTTTTCAGTACTTCTTTTAACAGCAACCTTGATTGGGCCAAAATAGTCGACTCCAGTTTTGACGAAACATCTGATAGTAGGCTCAATACGACTTAATGGAAGTTGACCCATAATAGGTGTGGCTGGTACTACTTTTCGATTTTTACATAATTGACAAGATTTAATTATTCCCTTCACGGTTTGACGGATGCGTAATATCCAAAAACGTTGTCTCAAATTATTGATTACTGTTTCAGTACCTTGGTGAAATGCTTTTTCGTGATAATATTGAATAATAAGTCTTGAAATTTTGTGTTTAGAGTCCAGGATAATAGGTTTTTTAACATCTTCGTCAATGATCCTTGAGTTATTCAGTCTTCCTCCAAGTCGGATCAATTTGTCATTATCTAGTTCACATGAAAAACTGTAAAGTCTACTGGATTTAGCTAATGATCCATTTTGTTCCAGTTGTATGAGTTCCTCATGAAAACAATCATTTTGAATTTTCCGGTATAGCAGTCTCTCAGCTCGTTGGATTTCTTGAATATTCAGTTCTCCTTTAGTTTTGCTACCTTTGCAGTTTCCGATAAACCGTACGATCCACGCTGTGGTTCTCAGAATTCTGTTCCACTTAGAAAATCTTTGTGGATCCGGAATGACTAGAGTTTCTGTGACGTAAGTCAATAGGACAAATTCATTTCTAACTTCCAGTATATTTCCTTTATTTTCTAACAGCTCTGAATTTGATTGTTTTTCTATTGGCCAGGCATCCATTTCTTTCAGCAGAAATTTTGGACCATATAGCCAAGTACTATCAGAAGAAAAATCTAATGGTTTCGATCTTTTTGTCGCCTCATCAGCTACATTTTCTTTACTAGGGACATATCTCCATTGTACAGAATTGGTTATTTCTTGAATTTCACCTAGTCTTTGAGATATAAAGACTTGGAATCTCCGAGCTTCAGATCGTATCCAGTGCAGTACTATTTTCGAGTCAGTCCAATAAAAAACAGTGGAAATACTCAACTTCAAATTGTTCTTCAGTGAATGACCTAGTCGTGCTCCCATCAAAGCTGCCTGTAACTCCAACCTAGGAATGGATAGTGGTTTCAATGGTACAACTCTGGTCTTTGCACTCACGAAGGCTGTCTGAATTAAATTCTCGTTCTGAATTCTCAAATATGCCACTGATGCATAACATTTATCTGATGCGTCTGTGAATATATGGAGTTGAATACAAGAACTATCTCTGGTGTTTTTATTTATATCGAAATATTGACGAGGTATCTTGAAAGTAAAAATATTTTTTAAGTCATATATCCATAGAATCCATTGTTCATTTAAAATATCTGGAATTTCATCATCCCAGTCCAATTTATTTCTCCAGATATCCTGAAGGAGTACCTTTCCCTGAACCAGGAAATTCGCCAAAAATCCCAGAGGGTCGAAAACTGACATAACTACTTTCAGTATCTGTCTTTTTGTCGGTCTAGTTCTATTTTCCAGAATATCATTTTTAATCTTGTGAAATTTAGTTTTGAAACAAAAAACATCCTCTTGTGGATTCCACCAAACACCTAAAATTCGCTCTACCTCAGGTTGTGTGTCTTGATCCATTTGCTCACCCTGAGCAGTTAGTGTTATGTCAATATCTTCGAAGAGTGTCTTAGAATTTGAGATCTAATTACAAATAATGAATCCTCCTCTTCGGTGCAGACAAATTACGTCTTTAATCAGCTTCTTGGCTTCATCTTCAGTATCTGCGTTCCCGAGATAATCATCCATATAGTGGTCTTCTATGATTGCTCTAGCTGCCTCAGGAAATTCTTGCTTGAACTCACAAGCATTTCTATTCTTTGCTTCCTGAGCAAGACATGGACCACTAGTAGAACCAAAAAATACCACTCCAATTTCATAAACATCAGGAGATCGATTGCGATCCATCTGTCGCCATAGGAATCTCTGTGCAAATCGATCTTCTGTACGGACTTGAACTTGCAGGAACATCTCCTTTATGTCTGCAGTAAAGGCATACCTCTTTATTCGGAAGTTGAGAAGGATACTGTAAAGAGAGTTGTACAAATCGGGTCCGGTAAGTAAACAATCGTTCAGACTCATTCCATTTGATTTAGCTGCTGCGTCGAATACAATTCTCAATTTGGTCGGTTTGTTCGGGTTCACCACACCAAAATGTGGTAAATACCATATCTTCGGATTGGTTAC